CACTGATAGCAGCTGCAGTGCCTGCTGGAAGTAACCGGTATTCCTCTCTTTTCAGACACTTTTCCCGAAATCCCCCTGAACAACGAGAAAACCTTGCCAGAAACCAGCTATCCCAACCAAACGACACGACTGCCACCGATAACCTACACGGGGCGCTTCTCTTTAGAGCCGGCCCCCAACAGCAGCAACACCTTATGGCCAGAGCCCCTCTTCAGCCTCGTCAGTGGGCTGGTAGGCATGGCTAATGCACCTCCCACCTCTACACCTACTTCATCATCACCGTCCTCCTCCTCACAGAGCTCCCCACTGAGCTGTTCTGTCCAGGCCAGCGAGAACAGTCCAATTTATTCAGCTGCACCAACTTTCCCCAATGCCAGCTCTGACATTTTTCCTGAATCACAGACCCAGTCTTTTCCCAACCCCTCTGGAGCCCCCATCCAGTATCCACCTCCAGCTTATCCAACTGCTAAAACCAACTTTCAGGTGCCAATGATCCCGGATTACCTGTTCCCTCAGCAACAGGGGGAGCTCAGTCTTGTTCCAGCTGATCAGAAGCCCTTCCCAGCCCTTGAGACCAGAGCACAGCAGCCTTCCCTCACGCCGCTATCCACTATTAAGGCATTTGCAACTCAGACTGGCTCCCAAGAGTTGAAGACCCTCAACACTAACTATCAGTCCCAGCTGATCAAGCCCAGCAGGATGAGGAAATACCCAAACCGTCCCAGCAAGACCCCACCTCACGAGCGACCCTATGCCTGCCCAGTGGAGTCCTGTGACCGGAGGTTTTCACGATCCGATGAACTAACGCGACACATACGCATCCACACAGGACAGAAACCTTTCCAGTGCCGCATTTGCAGGGAGTGACCACTTGACTACACACATCCGCACACACACAGGAGAGAAGCCATTTGCCTGTGACATTTGTGGCAGAAAGTTTGCCAGAAGTGATGAGAGGAAGAGGCACACTAAAATCCACCTTAGGCAGAAGGACAAGAAAGTGGAAAAGGCAGCTCCAGTCTCAACTGCTTCCTCAATTCCCACCTATTCATCCTCTGTGACTACATCCTACCCTTCCTCCATTGCCACCAGTTACCCCTCACCAGTGCACACAGTGTATTCCTCTCCTACTCCCTCTTCCTATCCCTCCCCTGCACACAACGCATTCCCATCCCCTTCTATAGCAACCACTTACCCCTCTGGCACTGCTGCTTTTCAGACCCAGGTGGCCACCTTCTCATCTCCAGCGGTCACCAACAATTTCAGCTCACAGGTGACCTCAGCACTTTCAGACATGAACTCAACCTTTTCTCCAAGGACAATTGAGATCTGCTGAGGCTACCTTCTGGAACAGGAGAATTCACCTTTTCCATTGGTATTATCAGACATGGAGTCTCCAGTTACTCCCCCAACACCATACGTTGCAAGGCTATTTAACTTTAGTTTAAACTTCAGCTGCCTGAGACAACTGCTGCTTAAGTTTTCCACCTCTGTTGAATGACTTAATTTGCATGGACTGTGGATATAAGTTCAATATCATTTTCCCCGTAAACAATAGTCTTTTATTAGGAAGAAAGGACTTTTGATTAAGTATCTAGCTGATGTAAATTGTACATGTGCCATGGTTTTGCTTTCCTTTAGGTACTATTGATGTGAAAAAAATCTTTGCATATCCATATTGTATTATTTGGAGTTTGCAGGGCCATAGTTTGTAAATGTTAATTCTGTTATAGTGACAGTGCTGTCATGCATTTCAGACTTCTTTGGGAACAGCACTTACTGTATTTGAGCATGTTAGAGTGATGCTATGTAAATATCACCTGATGAGACACTCACTTGTGGCAGAAGTTTTGTTTTTAAAGTTACAAGTCTTGGTGCCTTTTTGTGAAGCCTTGCTGACATCATGCATTTGTGTGAATGGATGCTTTGCATCTTGCCTTAAAGTGAAAGGGATGCTACTCAAGGAATGTAAGGAAGAGCAGATAATGGGTGGGGAGAGGAACACGAGGAAGCCCTAGGGGATGGAATGTAAGCAAAAAAACCCCAAACCAACCAACAAATAACACCCCAAAAAACCCCACCACATCTCTCAAAGTCTATTTTTGTTACAAAAATGTAAATTTATATATATATATATATTCAGGAGTTGGAATGTTGTAGTTACCTACTGAGTAGGCAGCAATTTTTGTATGTTATGAACATGCAGTTCATTATTTTGTGGTTTATTTTTATTTTGTAATTGTGTTTGTTAAAATGAAAGTGACTGTTCGGCTTCTAAACACATCGAATGCGCTTTCCTGCCAATGGGATATTTGGTGTACAATACCCTTCAGAAAAAAATAAATAAAATCTCAAATCATATGGACTTCCACATTGTCCTTTCAGTTGCTTCATAGGAAGACTGCACCACAGCAATCCTGACTCTTTGAGCGGCTGCAAGCAACATGTGCTGCTTGTCTCCTGGAAATAATACCTGCTTAAAGAAAGGAGATCAATCTTATGTCCAGTTGCTCACAAAGGCACAGATGAAGTACACACATCCTTGCATTAGGCCCATCACCTGCTCTTTTGAAGTAGCCACGATTACCTTTTTCTGGCTTCTCCAGAAGCACGAGCTAATCTTAGGAAGCAAAACTATTCTTCCAGTGCAGTAAATTAGGTTAGAAAATTAGAATCTCAACTGTGTGTTCATAGGTATTCAGAAACCTTACCAAATGGCAAGATAATAGAGCACTTTCTAGCCTGGAAATAGAGCAAGCTCAGTCACAATGGCTGGTTGACAGAAAGTAGCCCTGATCAGCTGAGGGCTGTCATCAGCTCCTCCTTGACACAACATGGTGCATATGTGTGAGGGCTTGATAGCCTTTAGTACAGGTGTTTCAGTATTTGTAGGAGGAAAACACTTCCTTACATGATGGTTTCACCTGAGCACCTTTGCTAGCAGCCAGGCATGTGTCTGGCTAGCCACCTCTGCACAAAAAACTGGCCTCTGTGTGCCCAGCCAGCCGTGCAAGGGAGATGATGGGATCTCTAGCTCTAAGAAACACCAGCCTACTTGCCCTGCGCTTCATCCACTTTGTGATGGTAGATCCTTTCAACTTGTGGAGGCCTCTAGAAATACACCCTAACCCTCTCCCTCTCCTCCCCAGACACCACCTCATACCTTCTCTAGAGTGTGCTGCAGTCTCCCTTTAAACGGAAAAATTCTGGGCTCCCGCAGCTATAGGCATTGGTCACAGGCACTTCACAGGTGGCGGTGTCCAACTGCAGGGATGTTTAGAGGCACAGAACCAGGTATGTAGGGTTACTGTTTGGCCCTGTGTTGACCCTGGCTCAAAAAGCAATAGATCGAGTAGTGTGAGCCAGCAGTGTTCAGTAGCTGTGCACTCGTCTGTAATGGCCCACAAGCTGCCAGATGACATTTCCTATCCAGCTGGAGGGTCACTTGTCTGAATTGCATCTCTTTGCAGGAAGCTCCCTGTACCATGGAGTCGCTAGTTTGGACAAAGAATTGTAAAAACTTGACATACGCCAGCTAGGGCCACTTTCATGCAGATAATCTTTGGTGTAACTTCCTAGAAAATGCTTGTAATTTAAGCTTTGGCATCTGGTCTAAATGGCAGCAACCTGTGCTTTGCATTGCCATCCCCATTCATCACGTAAAGAAAAGAAACTTGAATGGGGTCTCTTGCTCCCACTATTTTAATGGCCTTCGTCCCGTAAAACAAAAGCAGATTTCAAAGTTGAGAAAGCATTGACTGTACATTTTCTGCAAGATCTTTTTGTTTTCTGCTGGCCTGAAGTCAGGATCTCTGATTCTTAAAAAGTTTGCTTCTAGTCCAATTGAGAGGATGACTCGATTCGGAGGCTGTTC